TGTTGTGAAACTCCTGTAAATAAGCTCAGTGTCTGCTGTTCTAGTGTCTGAAGCACTGTGTGCGCCACCACCACACATCTATAATCTAATACTGAGATCGTCTGTCACACACACATTGCCATTCACTACCAACCAAACACTCATTATATTTAATGTTTCTTGCCTTCATCTTTTCCCTGACGTGTACAGCCCTGTACAGTTTCACACCACCATCCTAAACTGATTCACAAATTCTCATTATTGATTTACACATGATGCCGTTTCTGTTTACAGTAACATATTTTAGAATAATTATTTCCTTCTGTTTTCTATGTTCATCTGTAAAGTGTTTTTGACAAATCTACAAGGCAAAAGTCCCTTAGAAATAACTCTGACCAGATACCCTCTGTATCTGTCATTTACACCTGATTTTCTAAGTGTCTTCATTAATCGCTCATTGATCTCTGAGATGCCTGATAGACTCGCTCTGTTTATTTCTGCTTTCATGTTTCAGTCATAAAGCTGGATCATCATAACCCTGCTCTGATTGTGTTCTTCATTTCCAGCTGTAACATTTCATTTTTCTTTTCCTAAATTTTACACCTCGTCTCTGCTGTTGTACAATCTCTGCCTGGTCTAACAGTATTTTGGGAATTTCCCCTTTTATGCCAGGTTGTATTATGTACTTCTCATGTTTTGCTGACTCGTGATAAGATGATGTGAAGTTGCCTTGCAGGCAGAGCTCTTAGTTGCCAGAGAGAAATGACATTTCTGAAATGCCGCATTTAATAAATCATTATTTTGTGTGTGTATGTGTGTGTGTGTGTGTGTGTACAGTGTGTGTACATGACTCCAGTATCTCCTTAAATATGACTTATCCTTTTTTTATTTGTTTTAGCACACTTCATCATTGTATTTTCAGTATGCTTCTGGAAACTCTGACTCCTTGCCTGATTCCTTGCTTGATATCTATAGCGTTGACTGCAAATGCAAAGACTCTAATGTTCTGCATCAGCTTCATTAGCAGTATTTTCCTCATTGTCTGATCTCCATGGTCTCTACTTTTCTCTCAGTCCTGAAACTCTGGTTCTGTTTTCTATCCTGAAGTGGTAAAGTGTGATGTGATGGTCTTTGCTGTGGATCTTTCTCTGCCAAAGAGCTGAAGCAGAAATGAGGTTTA